TTTTTTTTTTTTTTTTTTTTTTTTTTTTTTTTTTTTTTTTTTTTTTTTTTTTCAACATTTTTTTTACACGATAAAAATCTAATCGTATATAGACACCAAAATAATGATTTACCGATCCATCCGACGACACTTGTACGTATGCATAAATTGCCTTGGAAATTCCAACTTGATCGGGCAATGGAGCAAACACACGGAGATCGGGAAAGATTTACAAGCCAAGAAGGGACAAGGAATGCCCGCTCGTTGATCCTTATGTACATCAACGGAGTATAATATCATCGGCACCGCGCGCGACAAGCCGGACGGAGAGATCGGCACGAGATTCGCCTGCACGACACGTTTATTGATATTTATTAATAGCTCCCCCAAGCTGCGGGATACCTTGCTATATCTCAGGTGTACATTATATATATATATATATATATACTCTGCCGCTCTTCTTATCATCGGAAAGCTCGAGGGACACCCTACATCATCATGCATATGCAAATAAATAACAACTGCGTGATGCAACTACGACGACGACTAGGACTCATTTATACACGATAAATCTGTACTATTTTTAAAAAATTTTTTATTTTTTATTATTGATACGTACACAAAAGTGTGTACCTGTATACGTGCGCCAGATGGGTATGGGCATACATACATAACGTATCCCGATCTCGTGCAAGTTGCGGCTCATCAGAGCTGGGTTAGGAGAGTAAGCGTAGCGGTCGGTGCAAAGAGTGGGCAGTGAAACAATCCGCCCTTTCTTTTAAAGAGAGAGCTCGAAACAGGTGAGCAGACAAACAGACCCATAAGCGAGCAACGCAAATTTACATCCCGATGATACGAGCTCGCGCTTTACCGTTATACTCGGCTGCTCCCCTCGCGCGATATACGTACGTTGCACACATATGTACTGTATGGATGGATCGAAATTGCCCCGGGAGCTTGGTGTGCAGTTATATGGTACGTATATAAACACGTACATAATATGTATGTACCCATAGCCACACGCGCCGTATGTATACACGCAAAGGGGAGCAAAAGAAAGAGAGATATCAAGAGGGAATAGCATCAGCCCTGCGTGTATATACCTACATGTGTAGACCCATCGCGGGAGGAGAGTTACAATGCTTCCTATGAATATATATATATACCTAACATGCTGCACGTGCGGCAGCTCGCGCGGCGCGCCAGATAACAAATTGCGCATAAATTGGGCAAAACCGTTCCGCAGCCGAGTTCTCTCCAACTATATATATATATATATATATATATATATATACAGGTACCTATTCCCTACTCCCTTCCTGCGGTGTGTATACTTGAATGTATGTATCCGGATGAGGATAGTCCCGGCAGGATAGAGGGAATAAAATCGGCGTTTTCCTCTCAATTCTCTTCGAAATGTGTGTTATGGGGTATCTGCGAGACTTATCAGTGACAAATGAATCAATAAAGTCTTTGTTGGTTCTTTTGAGCAAGAATTCATCGAAAATTGATGAACAAACGGCTGTGTCGTCGTGGAAATGAAAAACAAAGAAAAAAACGAGCGTCCGCGCAAAACGATCCGATTTCATCGAGATGAGAAGAGAAAAAAAAAAAAAAAAAAAACAAATGAAAATAACGAAGAAGATACGGGAAAGCGATAAGAGTATGGGACGTGGACAGCCACCTGCAAGGGAATACATAGTGAGAGAGAGAGAGCAACAATAAAACTCGGCTCGCGAGCGAGAT